CCCCACCACCAACAAAATGAAAAGTAAGAAAGAGTAACTAATCCTAAGGTAAATACAAACAAAAATTTATTTTGCCCATCTTCTTAGAAGCCGGATATTTTTCAGTCTCACTTTTAACACTGCCAAAATGAAGTCGTTTTTTATTTTATTATTTTTTTGGCTTCTTTTGTCTTTTAAGCTACGCTAAGCAAAACATGCTTTCATGTACAAGTAACCAAATCATTACTGAAATTAATTTCAGTAAGCTAAGATTTATGGGGCAGAAGAACAGTCAAAACCACATACGTCAGATGTTTTGCAAAATATATGTTTTCCCCATTTTAGAGCAATTTTATGAAAGAATGAAAACTTCCCATCTTTCTACCTACAAAATACACATACAGACATAAGACATAACCTCTCTTTTAATTAATTTTAGAATCTTTATTTGCTCGTTTCATTTTCTTGGATTTTCTTGAAAACCCATAAACCCTTTCAAAGCAAAAATTCCAAATCTTCATCAAAGCAATTCAAGAATAGAATCTGCAACATAAATAAAACAGGAAAAAGGGTACCAGTGTTGGAGGTTTGATGGTGAGGAGACAAGAGATTTTGCCACGTTGAATTGTAATAACCTTAAGAACTCCACCAATGAGGTTGGAGAAAGAATCCTTAACATTATGTTCAGGCTTAATTTTGTGAAAGACCCCAGTACCGTTGTAGAAGTGAGTGATTAATTCCAGAGCCTCCGAAGGGATGTCTTTGGAGATTGTGGTGCCTGTGCTGATGAGGTCCACGGTGGCACGCGGCGAGTCTTCGGTGGTCATTGTATACTTCAACAATCAGCCACTAAGTTTGGTCAAGATCGGTGGTTGGCTAAAGAGTGGGTTGAAGAAATGGGAAATTTGTATTTTAAGTTTTCCATCTTTGCCACAAAACTTTTTAGCATAATTTATCCTCAATTTTTAAATGCCACAAAATATCCTTACCGGAGCTAGGACAAGAGTAGAGGTTATCAATGTGATTTTCTAACTAGTTAGAAGTCCCATTTCATCTCAAGTAAAGTGAGAGTGACATTATATTGATTCGAAGTAAGCTGTCAAAAGAGCGAGATGAGGTTTGGAACCCTATCCGTCCTGGTGGCTAGGCTAGGCTAGGCTAGTGCAACAGGCCTAGTCGGAAGCAATCCTTGCTCAATCCCAGAAAGTGATCCGGATCCATTCTTCCATTGAAGAAACATAATCCCTATCTGGAACTAAAAATTTCATCAAAAAAGACATTTACAATTCCTCAAGCAGAAGATTGATTTACAGGAAAGAAATGAGCTACTTGACTTCCCTTCCCTCAGGCACGGGAACACTTCTACCATCCTATGAACTTTAAGATGTATGAAGTTTCATATTTGGAATCCTTTATGGAGCTAGTGATGGGGGTCCTCCTAGCAGGGGGAGGTTCAGATGCTGCTTCGCTTCGTAGCTACCTCGCTTAGCACCCCGCCTTCCTTATTACTCCATAGGGCAGCGAGGAGCATGCAATGGAGACGGCGAGAACTTACGACAAGGTGCAACCTTGATACAAAACATAATTCCTTTCATTTTTTGGCACTTTTACTGTACCTTCACGTTTTATTACGAAAATCATCATTTTCATTAAATTTCTTATGTAAAATGACAAATATACTCCCTATTAAATAAAACAATAAAAAAGAGAAAAAAAAGTTAAAGAATAAATTACACACTCTCAAACTTTTTAAAAAAGTGTAAATGACTTCAAATAAATTATTAAAAGGATAATGGGTAAATAGTACAAAACATCTCTATCTTTCAATGCTACTGCACAAAACGTTCATACGTTTGATTTTTTTGTACTTTCACCCCTATTTCCTGTTGGAAAAAATGGTTTAATGGGTCAACTTTGAGCCCAAATTTCAGTGGGACCCACCTTTTAAATAATACGGGACCTAGCATATTCACGTTCTACTCCGCGAGATGATTAACGTAATATATTTATTTATCGAAAACCATTTAAAATTGAATGAAATATTAAGCGTTAAAGTAACCCACATAAACTAAGGATTATGGAAGAATTTGATTTGTCAAACACTTATCCCACATAGGAAAGTTAGGAAACTTTGGTGTGGTTTATAAGGTGGAAGTTTGGAATTGGGTTTGGGCCCCAAGGGGTACCAATAGTCTTTGGAAGGGGAAAGACCTATATCCCATTGGGTTCGGTCATAAACCCACACGCGCGCGCCGCCGTCGCCGTCCGACCGGCCGGCTCGGCTCGGCACGGCACGAGCCCGAGTCCGGTTCGGTGCGGGACCGGGTCGACCTTTACACTATATTAACTTTTTGGACAAAATTTATTTAAAATTTTGGGCCAAATTGTAAATAATCAAATTCTTGGGTACAAAATGAAAT